TTTCAAAATTCAAAACACTAATTCATAATAAAATGGGAGCTACTCATGTAAATTCATAAAAAAAAAGAGTTTAACACAAGTCTGTATTAAAACAATACTTACTTAACTTTATGCGGCGAGTGCGCTCGTGGCATAGAGTGAAGTCCCTTGTCTTTCATCAAGGAGGTCCGCGTTCAATTCCAGGATCAAGCACATGAGGAATTTTTTCCAGAAAAATACGAGTTTTCTGCTCCTCAGGGACTAGCTCAACACCTGTGATGTGTCCTAATTCCCTCCCAATTCTGGCCACTGGGTAGTGACGCTGGAGAGCGTGTTGTAAGAGGCGCGTGCGTGGAGACGCTACCTAGTCCTATTGACAAATGACTTGACAGATATGAATGTTAATGGATAATTGTTCCAAAAGGGCTCAAAGCTCTTCTAGAGGCAGGAAACACATTGTGTCGATATAGACGCAACAATTTTTTTTGAATCTCCATGGTGGTACAGCCTTGTTCGTTCGCAATGATGAAAGATTAATAATTCTTCAGGAATGATATTTTATACTTCAACTTGAATGTAGGGTGAATTGACTTTTGATGACCTGGGTCGCGGTTATCAAATTGGGAAGATCAATATATAAATTGAAGTTGTCGATTGGATAATTGCGCCCCAGATGATCGCTGTCTATTCACCTTACATTTAAATCAGAATATAAAGAGACATTTTTTGGAATATTTATAACTTTACTTCTCAAAGCGTCATCCAGGAATTAGTTTTTCAAACCGGTGAGATGAGATGAGATGAGATGAGATGAGATGAGATGAGATGAGATGATTTGTAGGTCCAAGTTCACAAACAGCAGCAGCGGAAGGAAATGACAACCATGATGATTAACGACGATTAATAACAAAACTCAATAAAAACAAAAAATGTCGCAGGAGATTTCTCATGTACAGCGACGCGAAATTATTGTATGGAAAAGCACTGCACGCAAAGTGTGAAATATAGGCAACTTTTAATTTTTTAAACAATTATTTTCCCAAAAAGTGCCTATTTTTTTCTTTAAATTTTCTCCTCGTAGCATAGGACGGTAAAAAAATGGTGCTAGTCTAATTTTCGACAAACGCTCTCAACTTTCGAAAATTGCACAAATTTAACCTTTCAAACCTACAAAATTGAAGATTGATAATTCAGTCAAAATCTGTTTTAAAAAATCAGATCTTTATATATCATATAAATTTTCATATAAATTTATATAAATATAAATAATATAAATTTTTTATTCATATACATTTTTTTGAAGAAAAAGTATTCAAGTTTTCGCATAATTTCTTCTTGAAATTAAAGCAATTTTTTAAAAAACAAAATTTTCTCAAAGACCACACATCCATTTTTTGTCTTGGATAGAACAAGGAATGCTTAAAAGAATGGTCCAGGACTAATTTTCTTTGAACTCTCTCTCTCTCTCTAGGTTTTTCTCTCTATGAAAATTGCATATTTAGAAGTAATCTGAGAAAGTATGTGCTGTAGTAGCACCACTAGTTTATTTTAGAAAGAATGTTCCAGCATTATCTTCTAAATTTTTTTTCTTAAGTTTAGTGCTATGAGATCAATGGCGGATTCAATAATATTACAATGTACTGGCGCATGGGGTACTAACTTCATTTGGTATAAGAGATAGCATGTTTATAGCCGAAACTAAGAAATTTCAGAATGACAGTGGAGATATTCAACTTTGTGAGATTTACAATCCAGTAATTTTATTAAAGTTTAGAAAATTCTGAGTAAAAGTGTTGTTTTCTTTTTTTTTGTTCATTAATGATGGTGGTATACGTTCAATAAAATAGAAGACTGGAGGACATATTTTTTCTACTTTTGGCTGAATCATCTTTATTACAAGTGGGAAATGATGAGATTCCAAAGTGGATTTTAAGAGGCATTTGAGTTTATCATCTTATTGGTTATTATTCCTAATGGTAATACAAATAACTTACATTTCTAGACACAAAATTTGCTATGGTAGGTATCTAATATTTTAACATAGCGGTTCATTTTTAACTTCTTTTTTACTAGAATAAGAAATATACATATGCTTAGAAAAAAACACCATTGATATCAGTGAAATTATTGGTAAGACATCATTGGTATGCTTAGAAAAAACACATTTATAGAATTGTTTTCTGATGAGAGATGTAATGATTTTTAGCTTCATCTTGGTTAACTGATTGACATAAACAGTGACTGGTTTACCATATTTACCATTCAAATAAATGAAGTTTATAGATTGAGAATTCATTTTAGGTCATGATATCAGATGAAAGTTGATAAAGTTACTGATTGATCCAAAAATAATTATAGGCATATATAGCCATATTTTTTGTTCTTTCTTCTTTTTTTCCTGACATTTGATTAAAATTGATTTGACCAATGAAGAGAACTGATACAAAACAGAGAATTTGTCTCAATTTTTGCTTTTCAATATGTTACAAATAAGTTGCAATTGGCGATGTTACAAATGAATAAAAACGTTAATTTTGTGTTATTAATTAAATAGATTAAAATTGAAACATCACATGTCCACTTTTTGCCTTTTTTTATTTTTTTGTATCAATGTATAGCTTGTATAGTAATGTATTGTATTGTAGTGTATTGTAATGTATAGTTGTAATTTTTTGTGAAGAAACATCATATGTCTCAATGCACCTATGCTGTTACAATTCTAATTCATCACAGGTAGATGTATGTTTGAAATGTGAAGCTTTATGTATAAAATTAAAAGCACATCTTATCAAAAAATGTGAAAAGAGTCTATGCCAAAAACGTTTTTGCTACACTGAAAGAAGTAAAAAATGAATGCAAAAAGGATTAATTTGCCAGTGGCTTGGTCATTGATTTCATGCAAAATGTATCACTGGCACACATACCAGTGCAAGACGTACTACACTGTAGACAGCACAGGGTGAATTGTTCTGGGATTCATGACTTGAAAAGTGGAAAATGTCATATTTATATGTACCATGAAGGTTTATGCAAAAGAGGATCTAATGAAGTTGTTAGTTTCATTCTTGATTTTATTAGGAATAATATTCCTGATACTGCCACACACTTGTACATATTTTCCTAAATGTTGTGATGGCCAGAACCACAATCATACATTAAACGATTTTTTTTATTGTAAAGTGAAATGAAAAGACTTGAAAAAATACAGAAAGTTCTTTCTGATCTGGAGACAAAGCTGTTTATCATGGCACCGCCATTTCGGGACACCAGGCAAAGTATTAAAAAACAGGATCGTATTTACATTCCAGAAGATTATGCAAAAATGATTACCTCTTGTGGAAAAGGTACCATTAAAGTAAATTTATTAACAAATAATGATATTGTTTATGATTTCAAGGCTGTGGCAGAAATATTATAAAACACAAGTACTGTCTGTAGAAGCGTATGATAAAAGTGTAACTAAAGAACACAAGGTAAATTTTAAAATTTCTCAGTTATCTTCATTGGAATATTTTCCAGGTAGCTCTGTGGTTGCTACAGAGTCCTTTAATGGTTTAATTTCTTATACCTTTAAACTTTCAAAATGTATTCACTCAATGAAATCAATTGAACTTCCAACAAAAAAAACTTTCCTAAATGGATCTATGAATCCAGTAAGGTAAATAAATAAAAATTGTTAACTTATCTAAATTATTACAGTACATATCAGATGATCATAACAAATTTTATAGCTCAATATTATCATGGGATACTACTACAGAAGAAGAATATTTTCTTTTATGTAGGTAATTTACTGTATGTTACAAAATGTATTAAGCTGCAGTGTATTTTTTTATTGATTTTTTTAAAATATAGGATAGAAATGAATTGGGACAGTATTTTATTATAAACTTTGATAGTCATTCGAGTTTTCCTAAACCTGTCATAGCTTGGTAAACTTACAACTTCACTTTCTGGATATTTAGAATTGAAACATCACATGTCCATCAACATTTTTTTCAAATTTACTTGAGTTGTATTTTTAAAATTTGTATTTTGTTTGTTAGTACCAAAATAGACATATGATCTTTTAATGCTAAACAATTCAATTAAGAAAAAAATTCGATTGTGAACATCAACTTGAAAAATATGTATAATCTGGTCACGAAAATTGGAAGAACTGTAAACTGAGTAAAATAATGACAAATGTAATATTTATTACTTAATCTATAAATTAATTTCAAACAAAAAAAAATCTTATGCTTACCTGATGCAGTACTTGTTGTAATATATTGTAAAAGGAGACATAAATATTAATACCATACCAATTTGCCAACATAAATATTAATAACAAAAATGTGAAAGGCTATTGCAGAAGGATAATATGAAAATATCTTGCAGAACTATAGTCAGGAATTAATATAATAATTTATTGTATTAATAAGCACAAAATGGCTCATTTTCAGAAATATTCAAATGATATTTTCTCAAAAACAGCACCAAATTTTCCTCTAAAAGTTTTGTATTGAAAGAGATTTTGCTCTTTTATGACATTCTGAAGGTCGTATTTCAATTAAAGTTATATGAGAGTTGAAAGTATGAAAATATGAATATTTGATGATAAAATAAGACTTCATCAAAAGAAATAGTATAAGAAAGAAAAGTAAATGATTGTGCTAGTTAACAAGATTTATAAAATTTACGTTTTACAAGATAATTTTGTAATGTTTGTTAATTCTGGGAAAATTGTTCATTAATAATAGCAATGTTGAACTTTTTAATGTTAAAAACTTCCAAACATTGCTATGGCAATAAATGGTGTTGGCTGTCATTGACACAAATAGATTCAGTGTTGTAAAACATTAGTATTTGTTATTCCAGTATTTCAACTTTAATTTCCGCTGTTATCTGCAGAATTAGTGGGTTCAAAGGAAATTTTTAACGAATTACCATCTTATAATATTCATGATAGAATTAAATAGTTTTAATTTGGAAAGAAATCTCCAAAATACTTTTTACTTACTGCGTTGGTAATTTTCAACCGATGACACTGACACAAATGCCCCGGTGGTTCCTTCTCTGGCCTGCAGGGCATTTGGACGCCGGCGCCGTGATAAGAACTTTGGAAGTATCGTTCCCAGACTCGGTAGTGGACGGTAAGGTAGTATAATCAGTGGGCTGTACAGTCGACGCGGCCTCACTGTGGGCGGGGGGCCCCGCGGACGTTCCGACAGGCTCCCCTGCCTCCGTGGCGTTATCTACAATGGCACTGTTTTCAGGCTCTACGATATTGATAGGTGTTGGCCCAGCCACGGGCGGGGCTTTTGTACCTCTGGGGAAAATAATGTTAACAAGTTTGTCCAAAATAATAGCCTCATTGTTTGGAAGAAGAAGCAGAACACATGAACATGAAATAAGAAGAACAGTGAACGACTTCATCGTTAAGATGCACTAATACACACTACACGTTCAAGCGTCCATATAACCGAACTGAGCAGATAACCGATTCAACTTTGAACCTCAAGTTATTCCAGGAATTATGAATGTTTTGCTAGCTACGAACTCAGAGAGAACATAAAATGAATACGAAGTGATAAGTAGGCCATTTTATTCTACATCCAGCATCACTTTTGAGTAGTTTCCTCGTATTAACATTTCAAGAAGTATACAATGAAACTAGGTCATCAGATCACATTTTAATTCAGTGGTTTAAAAACGAGATGTCAAACTAGAACAAGTTATCATCTATTTTGAATGATAACTTGTAATTGCACACGACAAAAAAAAATTCTTTGCTTTGTGCCAGAATTTACCGGCGGTAACAAAACAACAACTATAATTGCAACAAATACGTCAAATAGGCAACAAAAACGTCAAATATAATTACAAAAGTCTTACCAAAGTAATTGCTAACTGATTTAGTTGAAACGAGCATGCAGTGATTCTTGTTACTGTATTATAGTTATCACAAAATTAATGTTATTCCTAGTGTGCCAACAAAAAAGTTCTAAATATATTATTTTCATAGATCTTCGTTATACACTCAGAATTAAATTTGGGCATGAAAACACTAAAGGCCTAACCTTTCTATTAAAAAAGGATGTTTTGAAATTTATTAGGTTTATTTCAAAATTGCACGGAGCAGGAATGTGAAAGGGGACATTTTGGTTCCTTCTAAGATATATGATTTGCCCAATCGGAAGCCAAGTTCAGATTTTTAGCCAAGATTTTTATTAGCCTGTTAATTCAAAATTTTAAAAAATGTTTACAAAAATAACTACTATGGGCTCAGACAGTGGGGTAGGATGAATGGATGCGAGTGATGTGTCGCATCCCCAAGTTTTGGGGCCCTTTAAAAACATTTGTTAAAAATGTCTTTCTACTCAAGTACATCTGTCTGTTCCGTTTGTACCTCTTGGTTTTTCCCCACGCGCTTCCCGGTAGGCGTCTGTGGCCGTGGATGTGACAGGCCGAGAAACATCCCTTTGACGGCTTTGCTTCGTTACCGAGGTCATTGAACTCTCAACCATGATCTGTGTGGAAGATGCGAGATTTCGGCCGACGGTGATGCGACGCTGCCTGTCGCATCTCGGACTTCTCATTGACCTCCCCAAGCTTTGCCATCGCCTCCTTTGAGCACCTGTCTTCTTTCAGTAGGACTGCGGACTCCATAGCGGTTTGAGGGGAGGGGGATATCTTGACCACACAACACACGCATGCGTACTCATATTTGCCAACTCTACTGTTGTACTGTCCTGATCCAGTACGTGATGAAGGAAAGGGGGGTTGTCAGTACTGAGAAAACAATTGGTGATTCAGGGCGAGTCAACTACTTAGGTCATTCATCCCGTACGTCTAGTGCATGCATTTTTCTCGTGAGGTGATTGTAATCTTCCTCTGCTGGATGGTGAGATCCGGCGCCGACCTACCTATCGGCTAGAGAGGATTTTCCCAACCACGCATCCCCCCCACCAGCGGGGCACTGCCCCAGCGGGGACAAGCTTTAAGCTCCTGATCGGTCTCCTGTCATGTGCCCCGACAAGGAAGGATCATTCGCACGCGGTCCTTGGCCCGTTTGTTATGGTATTGCTCCGGCATTCGCCTGGTATTGATTAAAGAAACCACAGAAAACTACTGATCAGAATATACGGTCGCCAGAACTCTCCTCCAGCCAGGGCCCTAATTCGACATAGCTATCTACCTAGCGGAAATATGATTTGACTGTGTATTTAATTATTAATTTGGTTTTATTTGAGTGTACTTGTTCGTTTTTTCTGTTATCAAATTTGAAAGTCTGGCATGGTTGAATGACTACGTTTCAGTTTTTAACCAAATTTATTTAACAGATGGCAATAGCAGCACTAAATTTCATTTTTTGATAATAAACGAGTACTTAGTATTGTTATTAGTTGCAATCGATTGCGCCCATTTTTTAAATTTGGATGTGCCAGCTTGACAGACACCAACACAACCACATATATTTCATAAATGAGAAAGGTAATATATTTGATTTTGGGTAATAAAATAGTAATATATATTTCACTTAGTTTGATGTGATTGAGCTATAGTGGTTGTGCCAGCTTGACACACCCCACATTCTGTTCTGGAGAAAGATTAACTTGTGTCATTGTACCAGCTTTTCGGCGTTATCTCTTGGTTTTTAAGCCTTGAATTATGAATTATGAGGCGATAGGATGATGATAAGTGACACTTTTTTGAACCATCCCATCATTCGCCTGTATGTCTGAGGGAAACTACGAAAACCCCAGTCAGGATGGACAGCCCGGGAATCGAACCTTCCGACTGCGAAATCAACACGCTACGCACTGAGCCATTTCGCTCGGTTTATTATTGTTTTTGTTATTATTATTGTTACTATTATCATCATTATCATTATCATCATCATCATCAAATATTCTACAAGAAAATTTGTATTTCGTTTACTAATGCGAAACTTTTACTATTTCTCGGAAGGAAACGTCTTGTTTCAATTATTCTAGTTTTCAAAATACGATTTGTTAGTGCTTATATTACACTAGTCAACAGCATTTTTGTTACAAAGAATGTGAATGTTCTTAAGTAAATATTGGAAACTGAATTCGAATATGTGATCAGTTTGTGCCTATCAAGCTCGGTTTTGTTGTTACACGCTACTCTCTATTTACGGAAATGCTTGACAACACTGCATATCGGTTAATGTGGTGTAGTTTTATTTAATAATTCACAGATGTAATTGTTCAGGAACAATCAAACTTCGTACAAGAAATTCCTATACATGACAGTGAATTCAGAAAATTCACCTTTAAGAAATGAAAAAGATTTGGTAAGTCATACTCGAACATATAGAATCGCGTTGTGTTTCTTTAGATTTAGATTTATTCAGTCAAAAAACAGTAAAAACTGTATGGGACGTAGTGGGGGGGGAGATTATCTGCGCACGTTTTCTTGCGTTCCAGAATCCCTTCCCGTCATTTTAACTACAAATAGTTGACAGATGAGTAAACATTTAACATAAATAAATAAAAATAAAATTTATAAATTGTTGCGTCCCAGAATTGAGAGATCTGATTACGTGGAAGCGGCTTGGTTGTGACTGCTTGTTCTAGGTTCATTAAGGTTTGTGCTTTGTATTAATTCAGAAGAAGAAATGCTTCATAACTGTGTAAAAAACCCAAATAAGTTAGGTTATATCTGTGGAAAATTAAATCTGACCCCCTACCAAAAAACACCTTAATTCTCTGATAAGGAAGCGTTGTGAACTTTATTCCAGGTGTAAGGTAAGCGACCAGAACAAGAAATGGGCCACCCGTGTAATCTGTGTGTCGTTTGTTACACTCCTGACACGCTGGTTAAAAGACTCACGTCACATGCCCTTTGCTGTTTCCATGATTTGAGGGAACCTACAGATCACACAACAGATTGTGACAAGTAGCTGGAATCACCTCAAAACGAAGAAATCTGTGCAATATCGTAATGTACCATGTTATACGGCTTGGGTGTTGCAATGAAGAATTGCCGGTACCACTAGCTCCTAGGAAGGTAACAATAAATGAAGATGAATGCAACAGTGACAAACATTTAGAAGACAGAGGAGGAGATATCCATGTTGACAAAATGTTGTTGGCCTCCTTTTCATGTTTCTTAACATTCATATTGTTGTATTTTGTACTGTATACATTTGGATCTGTTGTTATTAAAGCATGCCATTTTTTCAGATACATACCAGTATAAAACATAGCTAGACATACGCAATTACAAAAACCATTATCAAGTGTAAACTGAGGCCGATACAAAATTCTTAAATTAGATCTGGATTGAGAGGTAAATTATCATATAAAAAAACTTATTTTGTTCTTGTTTCAGAAAATAAATTTTATTTTACTGACCAGTTTTATGATTCAACTGTATAGTATATTTCAACAATTAGGGTATAGAGGAAATGTGTGCAGATTACACGTCCACCTCGAACAGTTTTTACTATTTTTGACAAAAATAAATCAAAACAAATTAAATCAAAGAGAAAATAAATTATGAATATACAAAATAATCAACAAACGTTTAGTAATTAGGGATTTTTATTCTTCTAGGAATACAGATTATTTGTATGTAATCAAAATTTTGCGTAATTGAAACAATTACGTGACAATTTTCACCAACAAAAAAATCTTTATTCCATTCTTGATGAATATTAGTACAAACTTGTTTTCTTCATAATTCTTAAAAATTCATCTTGGCTGATCTCACCATCACCATCTCTATCTGCTTCATCTATCATTTCCTAAAACAAAGAAAATATACTTGATGAATTCGTCTAATGAACAAAGTGCATTCTTTTTAAAAAAAATTAGTCACACCAACCTGTGTGGTTATTAGGAGAGCTGGGATTTATATCTAACATTAAGTAGCGAAATATGTAAAAATATATGTAGCGAAAAACGACGAAATATTTAGGAAGGTATATTACCTCAAAGTATGTAATATATTTTATATCATACATTGAAGAGCCAAAACCACTAGTACACCTGCCTAATATCGTGTTGGGCCCCGCAAGCACGCAGAAGTGCCGCAACACGACATGGCATGGACTCGACTAATGTCTGAAGTAGTGCTGGAGGTAACTGATACCAAGAATTCCGCAGGGCTGTCCACAAACTCGTAAGAGTACGACGGAGGTGGATATCTCTTCTGAACAGCACGTTGCAAAGCATCGATGCTCAATAACGTTTATGTCTGGGGATTTTGGTGGCCAGAGGAAGTGTAGCAAGTCTGAACGTGTGGACTGTCGCATTATCCTGCAAATTGTCCGCGCATGTCCTGCGCATTATTCGCAAATTGTCCAATTCGGTCAGGACGCACAATGGACATGAATGGATGCGGGTGATCACACAGGATGCTTACGTACGTGTCACCTGTCAGAGTCGTATCTAGACCAATCACAAGTCCTATATGACTAAAACTACACACGCCCCATACCATGAGCCTCCACCAACTTGTCTCCTGTTGACACGCAGGGTCCATAGATTTATGACGTCGCCATACTTGTACACGTCCATCCGCCAAACAATATCAACCGAGACTAGTCAGACCAGGCAACGTGTTTCAAATCATCAACAGTCCAATGTCGGTGTTGACGGGCTCAGGCGAGGTGTAAAGCTTTGTCTCACTGTCATCAAGGGTACACCAGTTCCTTCGGCTCCGAAACCCCACGTCGATAATGTCTCGTTGAATGGTTCGCACGCTGACACTTGTTGATGGCCCAGTATTGAAATCTCCAGCAATTAGCAGAAGGGTTGCACTTCTGTCACATGTAATGATTCTCCTCAGTCATCGTCGGTGCCTCCTCATCTCCTCAGTCATCGATAACCTGCCATTGTAGCAGCAGTAACCAATCTAACAACTGGGCCAGACTCTGGTTGTCTTATATAGTCGTTGCCAACCGGAGTGCCGTATTCTGATTGGTTCCAAATCTTTTTATTTTAATACGTACGGCTGTACTAGCTTTTTTTGGCTTTTCAGTGTATTTACAAATTCAAATGGTTTATTCATTAAACTTGGCAGCACAGTGAATAATTATATATTTCTTGTTCTGTGGGGTCACTGACATTGGCTAGACAGAATGTCGTAAGTAGAGAACGATCTTATTACATCACATAAGGTACGTCCGGATTCTTAGGTAATTACTAGAGCCCAGTTCAGTCACTTATTTTACCTAAGATAGGAAGGCAAAATTTTTTCTAGCTACAGTAGGGGTGCAAAATACCATACAAACAACTGAAATTCACATTTAAAAGCAATAAATGTAAAAAATAATTAAAAAGATTCATATTTGTATTCCAACTCTAAACATAACGTGTAGGAAAACAATATTTTCTTTGTTATCTTGAATTCGCACACCATTCCATACAATGGCTACGAATTTGTTTCACTCGCAACGCTGTGCCTTCAAAGTTACTCTAATTCACTTTCTCGCACTTATTACGTACGAAGGTAAAGTTATGAAATCGTGTGCCGGAAAACAGCGATTTTTAAGCAGAAAAAAGGTTTATTGCCAGGCTTTGGTCACGAAAAAGTGGATAAAAAAGTGGTTACACGGTAACGCCCAGCTACATTCAAGTCCAGGTGCAATGGCAATTGCATTCAATTGAAGCGCTATATTGTGCTACAACACCATGTAGTTGAGTTACAACAAAATTATCATTATGGAATATTCTCCATGATAAAGAACACGTAGAAGTGTCAACCTTTATGGATGTACGCCAAATAGTATGTGAGTATATCAATCTCGAAAAAACATATTATATATGTGCACGGATATATATGGGGAAATGAAATTATTTTTAAATTCATGCCTCGCTATGCAAAACGCCGAGGAATATAGCTGCCAGGAATTATGTAGGAAGGAGGAAAAGTTGGTGCGGGCAGCCGCCTAATCCGGCGCGAGGAGCCGGGACCCTTTCGTATTCGCAATGTGGAAGAAGAGCCGTGCTGTCAGCAGATAGATATGCGAGCGGATGAGCGAGGCAGAGCCCCGCGTCACGGGCCAATTTAAGTATGCGCCGTCAGGTGGCGCAGCAAACGGGAAGCGCCACAGTCACGGGACCTTCCATCAGGTACGTGATTGGCAGGGGGCGATATAATTTTGGCCGGTTTAACATTACTTGCGTTCAAAAGTTTAATCACGGTACGAATCACAGTCGGTGGGAAAACTAATTGTCTTTAACTATTAAATGTGCACAGCAGACTGAAAACACTCAAACTCCTATGAATCCTTTTAATGATGTTTATCCCTTAATTAACTTGTGGTACCAGTAATTAATAAATTAATTACTAAGCTAGTGATACCTGTAATACAACCACCACTAAAAATTTAAAGCGTTTATCTCGAAAATTCATTTTTCGAATTCTGTCAATATTGCAGCCCGCAAACGATTTTAATGACCCAATATTTTAGCTGCAAAACGCTATTAACATAAATTATGTCATGATGTTAAGGAAAAACTGCAGGGAACAATCATTTATCTGACGTGAGTCTCTAAAGTACAAGACAAGGACAAGACACTAGACAAAGATGAATTTTAGAACATTTATTAGATTAAAAGATTAGTACACAAGAAACATTTGGTGCCATTAAAATACCCTAGAGCGCGGCAAACGATTTACCACATTTGACAGTTTCACCGAAAACGTAAAGAAACGAAGCTACGCCCAACTCCGTTGGCAGATGCCGCGCCAGTCACTTCGGCAAGTTTGAATTTCGCGCCCGAAAGTCAGTTTTAAACTCAATTTTATCGAAGACATTTTTTGTAACGCGAGCTCCTGGACACTATGTAAGCGAAGGAACGGTACTCCGGTACCCCGGGAATAATTATTAAATTACATTTTAAATATATAACTTTTTATATTAAATTAATAATTATTTTGGGGTGTGTTACGGGACCAAACATTTTTGCTTGTTAACTCTTTCCAAATATTGCATCTTCTGCAACAGGATTACCGTCTGAAGGGTTTAATGATTGGAAAAACCCTAATATTAAAATTGATGAAAATTCGGAAAATCTTAGGAATGCTATGTTAATGTACTTAACGACAGCAAAAGGGAATCTTTATTGACACCTTGACCATTATTGTTAGATACTGTCCATTGGGTGGTTTATCTCTCCAGGATTTCTTTGACATTTTAATGTCTCACACTTCATGTTTAGTAGCATCTGTAGTTCAGTGCCTGTGTTAATCTGCGAGACTTGCATACGCAATGCTTCTTGCTACACATACAATGTGTCTGTTTCTCATTCTTCAGTCAGCTTTAATGACCGGCCTCATTAGTTGGTCATCTTGATGACTGACTACACACATTTCCATCCCGACTATTGTAATGGGTCAGGAGGCTTCAATTAGTCCGAAGCCTCCACCTCCTTCCTTACGTGACACAAAGTCTATGTAATTCAGCTCGAGGATGGGCGACATGATGTATTGTGTGCAGTTTTCTGGTTTTCGATCCGTGATTCGTATTTCGTGCTCAGTCCAGTCTATTACTCCGAAACTACTAGACTACAGGCACCGCCAAACTACCAATTGCAGATACGAGGCGCATCCAGAAAATACGTTTCCTTATTTTTTTGCTTTGAAAGTACACGCGATTAGGCGGAGAAATTGCGCATGCGTAACAAATCTTTGACGTATCAATCATGTGCCGTCCGGACAGGTCCCGCTTCGTAACAGTAGCGCGACAGCAGAGGCCTGAAAAGGCGGCGCTTATTCGTTCTCCCGCCGCCGGCGAGGTTTAGACCGTGATAAAGTTCCTTAATTCATAACGCATTGCGCCGATCGAAATTCATCGGCCCTTACTGACATGTTTACTGCAGGTGTTGTGGTACTCCATGACAATGCTCGTCCACATACGGCGCGGGAAACAGAAACTGGTCAGCAGAGTTCGGCTGGGAACTGTTTCATCATCCCCCATTGTCCTGATCTCGCACCCAGCGATTTTCATCTTTTCCTGCACCTCAAGATATTCCTGTCCTCCCGGCATCCTTTGTCATTTTCACAACGACGAAGAGCTGAAGACTGTGACACATTGGTTCCAGTCGCAAGCGGCACAAACGTTGATATCACGATATAGCAAGTGTCTCAATTCGTGTGGTGATTGTGTGGAAAAATAGCTGAAACATTGCTAAACCTGTTGCCAATAAAGTTTTGCATGTAACTATGTTCTTTTAATTCAAAAAAATAGGGAAACTTACTTTCTGGATGTGCTACGTATTATATTCCTGAGCTTCAGAACATACTGTAGGAAAAGTCTCGCTCTTCTGTAATACTCACTGCGAATTCTCTCTTTCATTGTTACGTTCGAGATGTTCTTACATTCTCCAATGCTCAGAAAGTTTTACCTGTCTCAATCACAGGGTGCATATCAATTTCAATGATTTCTGACGTCTTTCTGCTCTCACTAAATTGATTTGTGCACACTTCTCAAGACCAAACTTCGTGCAGATGTCATTGCTAATGCTATTCACGACAGGCAGCATTTGAGAGAGAATCGCATCGTTCTTATCAAACCCTTTAAGATCATCCAAGTAAAACAAATGAGATAGTGGTCTTTCATCAGCATGGAGCTTGTAGCCAAAGTCATTCTTTGACAACTGTCTAGAAAGTGGGATCAAACAAATGCAAAACAGCTGAGGGGAAAGCGAATCTCCTTGAAAAATACCCCTGTTAATCTAAATACTTATTGTTCTGCAGCTTCCTTTCCACTGCAGATTAGTAACCTGGTACTCCACGACTTCATAGTATTCTTGCAAAACTCAATAAATCAAATGGAATTAATAGATCTCCAGGGTCTTCAAAATGCAATCGTGTGGTACGCTGTCATAGGCCTTCTGGTCAGTGTCAATCCAAGCGATGCATACATTACGTTTTCGTTTTTTTCATAATTCAAGACGACGTTATTTAGTAGCAAGATTTCCTTGCAGGCATAAGAAACTTTACGACATTCTTTTGTTCAACTGCCAACAGATGATTTCTCTCTAGTTGACTGGACATGTCAGGTATGGCTGCAGTTATAACTTTGATTAGTACTGGCAGACAAGTGATTGGGCTGTAGGTCTTCGCCAAAGGACTGTCTCCCGCTTTGGGTAGCAAGTACGTGATGCCGCGTGTGAGTCATTCTGGGCATTCCCTTGGGTTTTGTAAACATTTATTAACAGTCTTTGCTATGAGAATGTATTGCTATTAATTATTTAATCCAATAATTCTGGATCTTATCAATACCGGGGGATTTCCAGTTTCAAATATTCTTAATTGCTTAGAAGATGTACCCTTGAGAGAATTCGTGAACATGTTCCACTGTTGCCACAAATTCATCGGCAGCATCAACTTCAGATTGAGCAAGGATGCGTCTTTATTGTAGGATCTGCTTTCCTCCCAGATTTCTGCCCCAAATGCTTCGACATCATCTTTGGAAGGAGTGACAGCATTGCCATTCGTCTTTAAACTCCGATAGAATTTCTCACGTATGTTTCAACCGATTCTGCACACGGAAATCTACTATACTTTGAAACATCTAAAGCGTTAAGACCCATGCTTGAATTTTTTTAGCTTCTCAGCTACCATTACCCTATTTGCATAATTTTCAATTTCATATTTTTGTTTAATATGAAATATTTTTGGTTGAACTTGAGACTAAGAGATGTGCGTTGATTTTGAAGATGCCTTGGCTAAGAGTGATATTTCACGCATAGCGTGGGCTTTCCGTTTCATAAATATTTTCGTCCATGGAGGTACGGGGCTGTCCACTCTGTTTGGCTGTCGGCGGTCAGTGTTCTTAGCTGGCCCCAAAAATATCTGAAATACCAGAGATCCACACTGTAATTCATTCCAGCATTATCTTGGTATCTACCTGGACTCTTACCACCACATTTAAGACAGATTTCGCTATCTCTATCACTCTCTAAAGTTGAGCATTTTCGTGTATTCTCAACGGTGCTCGAGATTTGAATGGAAGTTGACAAAATCTTTCTATCTCACGCCGAAGGACATTTCACATCACGTCTTTATCGTGTGATTCATTACCAGATGAATTTTCATCACTGACGTATGTTACATTGAAAAGAGATGAAGCTTCAACAGGACCATTGTTTTCGAGTTCATGTTCGTTATGTGGATAGTTCGATCGAAGAAGATACTCCGCATTTCCCTGAATGTCAGCAAGTTGTCCTGCTGTGAATGTGCCACTGCTGAGTATGTATCGTAGTTGACTGACAAGCTTCTTTAAAGCTAGGGTGGGTCTCATATCTGGATTCCGCTGTCTCCATATCTTCCATAACTTCTACTTCTGAGCCCCCATTCTTCACTTTTGCATAGTAAAAACACCACATCACCCCCTTCAACGTATCCCATGTCCAGCTCTGACGATGGCTTCGAGCTACTGCCGACTCTGGGTCCCTGGAACTAAATTCGTGGACTAACATTCATGGCCAGACGTCGACAAGGTGAAATTAGCTCGGTTTCTGAGCAGGCATGGGACATTGGTAGAACAAGGCACGGTAAGATGCATTACATTTCTTGTTCCATCCATTTCGCTCATTGGTTATAGGGGAAGTTTCGCAGGAAGTAAGTTCGAGTTTACAGATCACGCTGAAAACATGAGTTATTTCCTGTCATTCGTTACTGCGACTCATAGTGGCCTCGGGACATTCCTCTGCAGTATTCAAGCGGATTCGTCACCGTGCTCCTCACCCACCACGGTGTCCAAATAGGGGGTGTCTTGGTTGACACGAAGATATAGTGGGAAGATGTCACAGCGCTGCCCCGTTGTGGATCCCCCCGCTCACTCTGGAATTCAGTAGAAGATCTAGACATCGCCGATTGATCAGGAGTGGGTTAGGTCCAGTCCGCCCGTCGAGTCCGAGGCCAAAGCAAGTGTATTGAAGCCTACGGGGAATGCTCCCTGAAATACGCAAACAACGTATCCCTGGGTGCAAAGCAGAACGTAACACAAGGTAGTTGGCAAACAGACCCCTCGACCATTCTACATTGCGTTCGACATGGGTCGCCAGGCACGGTAAACACGTGAGTAGGCGTTCAGCACACATGGGGGCAGTGAAATAGAAGGGAAAGAAGAAAAGAGGATGTTATGAAAGAACGAGAATGAACGATGGGGAGAAGAAAGATGAGCGTGGGAGCTGGTGAGCGTAAGGAATTCTTAAGAGTCCGCCCTGCATCTCCCGTCAGGACGTGGACCCACCTCGAGGGGTAAAATGCAGTCCTATGCTTCTCTATACAGACTTGCAAGATACTTGATAACTCTTCTTGAACGATTCCAATCATTCGTTTGAAATCTTAAAGTCACTCATGACTACCTTTCGAGCGATTTCAATACGAGCCTTGACTTGTAAACTGAGCCCTGAATTCGGCACGATTTTTACCCGCGTTGCGACGAACCGTTCCATTGTGAGTTCGTCCACTCTTTCGTTCCCATTTTTAGCAGCCCTTCGATTGGAGAGTGAAGAACTTCCATGCAAGCATTTGCCCATAATATATTCTTTCTCTTGAAAAAATTTGCAAATACTTGTGAGAAAGCATATTCTTTCTCGCAATATTTGTAATGCATACGTAATATTGACATTGGAACTTAATATAGATATAAGATTTGGCACATAATGTTCTTCGATTTGTAATATTAAGTTATCTTATTAAGTTAATTAATATTAAGTCGCCTCAAACGAAGCGCAGGAAATTCGAATTTACCATTTCAAATTCTATTCCAATTTACACATAAAATATTCATATTTTCGAAAAAAATAACATAACATTATTTGAAGACCAGTTTTTGATAAACATATTTTTTTTTAAATTCGTAATTGCAGTTGAAGGTAGACATTGAATAAATTTTGAATTTTTGCAGATTTTGAAAAATCACGGTTACTAATGAAAATGAGACCTGCACATTTCTTTCAAGCATCTATTACACTATCAGAACACAAATATTAATCAAAAAATTTGGAGCCATTTTTGAACATTTTTAAAACGTCTCAGGTGCATTATGTTAAGTACCCTGCAAAATAAATATATCGGTTTTAAATTCGAGGGGTCGCGACATTAGCCAGACTGATTGTGGAATATCAATTTTGGAGAAAATCGACTGAACAGTTTAACTGCTAGCGTTGTTCACAGACGGACGGATGATGTTTTACTATCAATCGATTTTTCGGTATAAAGGGCACAGAAAACATGGATTCTGGCTACAGCACGTGTTAGAGTATTTTTTAAAATAATTTTAACAACTGGATTTATCCCCTCTTTCGTTACCAGTGCCCGACAATAAGAGTTTTTCTGCCGAACATTCGGTATTTTTTCACCGCAGCATTACATAACTTCCTCTTTACTGCGCAAGGGGTATCTAGAAAGCGAAACGACTGTCCGTTTGTGGGTTCAGCAGGTTCCGTTAACAGCTAGTAAAATTAATTTTATTTTATACAGCAAACGAATAGGACCGACATTTTTCCGTTGACGGCAGTTTTCCGTAATTACTAGGTTCCATTTTCGGTAGATTTGACTATAAATAATCATTCAAAATCTAATCCTGAACAGAAAATAAAATTTACCTGTAATTCCTCATCGGTCAAATTCTCTCCCAATTCTCTTGATACACGTTTCAAATTCTTAAATGAAATTTTGCCAGTTTCATCGTCATCAAACAAACGGAATGCTTTCATTATTTCTTCTCTTGAGTCCTTTTCAGCCATTTTCTCAGACATTAACTTACAAAAGTCATCAAAAGTCAGAATACCTATAAAAACAGAGAAAATATTAATTATAACAGCAACATCAATAAATAATAATAATAATAATAATAATAACAACAATAATAATAGCAGACCAGATGGCCGAGATCTCTTAGACAGTAGTGCCGTAGCGGTCTCGGACCAGAAAATCAGGGTTCGAGTCCGGCCCCGGTCATGTATTTGTATGTCTGTAAGTGTGTGTCGTCCTTTCACCCCTCGTCATCATAATTTCATCTTCCATACCCCGAGGGCTAATAATCCTAGAGGATAAAAACAGGATCCAGCTAAAATGCTGATCCCACAATAAAAAGTTACAAGCACATCCCACCGAGAAATGATACTAAGCCCCGGTAAATGCAGGATGCATGCACGCATCGTCCAAGACGGCCTATTCGCGAGCAAAAGAAGAAAAAGGATTGTTATGATAATATTAATAATATGCTAGCTAGCTACTCGGACTTGCCACATACTCTTTCCATCTATTGCCGCACAAAGTACTTCTTTTAAAAATGTTCTTACATTTTCGGCTTCCTTCGGTTGAATCGAATTATCGAATCGCAAAACAGAACAGCAAAACCTCGTCCCAAATCGCAATTTTCATTGAACAATTTTGAGCCTTTTTTAAGAAAATGGCATTTAAGAGCTACTGTAAATTCGAAATTTGAACTTATTTTCACAGAAAACTATTTTGTTTTCGAAAAACTTCATTCGACGCCATTTCAAGCACTTTCGAAATCTTTCAAGACAATTACATTTGTGTAATTTTTGAAAATAAAACACAAATGAATACAGCAAATTAATTCAATGTCATGTTAAATAGTGCAATTAGCACTATCTGTTGGAAAAGTTTGAAGAAAAAATTTCGAGACGTATTCGAGAAAATGGTGTGTGTGCTTTTCTGAAACTGCGGAATTTTGAGCTTATTTTCACGGAAAACTGTAGAGTTAACGGGAAACCTCGTCTCACATTATTTAAAGCACATATACTCATAAAAACATTAATGTAAAGGAATTGCTGCGAATGTAAATATTAACAACGTGAGAGACGAGTAAACTAATTACATTTTTGTAATTTTTGAAAAAAAAAATAAAGCAATATGGCGTTTTTATCATCTTATAGAGTGCATTTAGCACAATTCCTACTAAAAGTTTAAAGAAAAAATATGGAGCCATTTTTGAGAAAAAATTATTTTGTATTTTTTTTAAATTGCACATATCGCTCGCAATATTGCGCGAAAGCTACTTTTCTTTTACAAAAATGTACATGACCTTAAAGAAATTTTATTTGAAGGAAAAATACCTATTTTCAATTTTGTAGTTGTAAGAAGACGCCCAAAAATTTTGAAATTTTCGAAAATTCAGAGTTAAAACTGAAAATCTGACCCATGCCACCTTTATAAGTATATTTTACTCTATTCTTGCAATAAATTTAAAGAAAAAATTTGGAGCAGTTTTTGAGAAAATGTTGAAAATGACCGGAGAGCTTCATGTAAAGTACCCCAAATTTTAAAGATTCTTTTTCAAAATCTCACAGATTCGAGTCGGGCCAGATCGACATGTGTTTCTTCAATTTGGAAAAAAATCTTACCCATGCTTTAGGCGCTAGTAGAGTTGACAGACAGAAGGCGAACGGGCAGAGGGGCGTTAAAACAACACTTGTTCGGTATCAGGGAAACCAAAACGTTTGAAATCTCGAAATCGATTTTTTCGCAGTTTTACGTAACTTTCCCTATACCACGTATATTACTCCGAATATACGTACGTATACAGGAACGTAAAAAGTACTATACATCATTTATCAAAGTGCATTTTTATTCATAATCACATACTATTTCACTGTCTGGTCGTAACAATCACACAAAATACCAATTAAGCGACCTCCCGACAAGGCACAAAAATCTGCACTTCTGACACTCACATGTACGTATTGGACCGTTTCAAACTCTGCTCTACAGGTACCTACAGGGAAGATACCATTGGCTCTAGTAGAGCAAATAACAGCTCAAAATACATGAAAAAATGCCCAACACATGGCGAAATGGGGAACTCCATTGGCTCACTAACAACTCATGTTATGAGGACTTCAAAGGAAGATGGGACCTGAACTCCACTGGAAAAAAACTCCTTTTTTTCCCAAAGCATCTTGTCACAAGACCTAAAACACATGAGACTGTCACCAGCCGTGGTGCAGATTATGGACATGGTCCGTTCAATTTCAAACAGAAAGAATTTAACTTAACCAATACTTCGCTTAGTAAACGCGCAGAAAAAGAGACAGCGCCGCACTTGTTACTTGCCTTTCCTAGCTAGTGCCAACAGCACCAGAGAAGAGAGACCCAACATGGTGTAGAACTCGCACGTAGGACCCTCATCTGTCTGCGCCAACGTATTATAGAGACATAGACACGCTTTCACGCATGATCATTCAACAACCTCATATGAATCGCTAGATAGCAGTGGCCCACCCCGCTCCCAGTGCCGGGGACGGAAACGAAGGGATGCCCTGTCAAGCTGTATTCTATATTGAGGCGGGGCGCTCCGTGTAGCCAAGTGGTAGGGTAGCAACACCCACACACATACAGGTACTTGGAGGTACAGGAGGTAAGACTGTGCAGCACAAGAACAGAAGATGAGTGGTGGACTGAGAGGATATCCTCCACCCCTCTCGAGCCGTTGTTAAGAAACTGGCATTTAAGCGCAAAGTGCACTTGTGGCTCAGGACGAAAGTCCCCGGTGAACCTTAAGTGAAATTTGTTACGACAAAACGAGTTTGCGTGCTTCACAGGGGCTAGTCCAAACCCGTGTCCTAAACCCTTTCCATATCCTAATTCCTTCCCAATTGTGGCCGCTGGGTAGTGACGCAGGGGCGCGTAGTAGGAGGCGCGTACGCGGAGATGCTACTTGGCGGTTCTCTTGACACTTGACTGCGATGAGACGTGACGTGACGGATATGATAATGTAAAAAAAAAGTTTCTGGTTTCTAGTTTCTGGTCATTGTCATGCAAAAATCATTTTGTGTCTTTTTTCAGCAGCATTCTTGTAGTTGCAGGCCATTAGTATAAAATATGTATTTTTTGAAAGAAGAAAGAATTACCATAAGAAAAAATTAAAAAGTTAAAATTCGATGAAAAATGTTATTTTAAATACAACAAACGTATTATAATTCTTTAAGTTTAGCGGAAGTTACGTTCAGCGGAAGTTGAGGGGTCAATCATGCTGAACATAGAAATTAAAATTATTCATGTTAACATGCATTTTATGTTCATTCTGATGTTCAGAATTCGTTTCTTAAAGAAAACGTCAGTGTTATTTATGTACGTATACATACCAGTATTATCTTTGTCGATTTCTGCCACCATTCTTTTAATTTCTTCTTTCTTGGGTTCGAAACCCAGCGCTCGCATAGCTACCTAAAACATAAAATATAATACATAAACAATAACTTACACACTTCAACTTTTAATACTTCACCTAACAATGCTTCAACTGATAACACTTATAATACTTCAACTCATACACTACCACACTGGCATATCTTTCTCAAATTCTCAAAATGCAGCAAGTTTACACACATTCAATTATTTCGTGAAACTGTTATTTAATTCAAAAACTTTTTATTTTTTCCAAAGTAGAAAACACCCCACCACGTCCCTACACATGCGACTGACGAGTCCAAGAAACCAAATAGTAAAGTTTCCAGATGTTAATGTTCAGTACAATAATTCATTTGAAGTCTGATATACCCGACGGATGTACCTGTACATATTTTCTGAACGCTTTGGTTAGCGAGTATCAATTGGTTGCCGTGATAACGACGATGACGATGGTGATGAAAAAAAAACGCGTTAACGACCCTTCAACATCTAAGGTTATTGACACCCGTATAAAATTAACGTAAGAACATGTGAGCGCTGTGCCAGTGACAAGTAAAAACATTTTAAAAATACCGAGTAAAATGTGTAAAAAACAAATAGTGGTACACATGTCTCCTAAGAAAATGAAACATCTTCCAGAAGGCGAGCCAGGCGAACACTAAAACATGATATACGAGGCGCATCCAGAAAGTAAGTTTCCCTATTATTTTGCTATGAAAGTACACGCATTTTTGTGGGAAAATTGCGTATACATTGCGTATTTGCGCGCGGCGATGGTGTTACGGTTAGCGTTTCGGACTGTTGTACCCAAGTTGGCGGTTTCAAACCCGATCGAAGCCCTGGATTTTTAAGGGCGAAAAAATCCCTCGTACGGAGGGGAAGTAAAGCCGGCTGTCCCATGTTCGTAGATTTACTTGCATGTAAAAGATCCTCAAGCCTAAATGACGCCTCTGAGCTAAATTCAAATCGCCTGTTTCTCGCCCAAGAAATACCTCCTTTCTCTGCTAGTTGGTGAAAGGAGCGTAACGAAATATGTGTGGCTAGACAGAAGAAAATTCAATTCAATTATACATAATAGATCTTTGTCGTATCAACCACGAACCACGTGCAGAGAGGTTCCGCCGAGTGCCAGTAGCGCGGCAGCAGTGGCCCGAAATGGCAACGCTTATTCGTTCTCCCGCCGCCTGCGAGGTTCGTTCCATGAGAGTTCATCGTCTCTCTAACTGGTATCCTTACTGCAGGTGTTGGCACGCTCTTGCTGACATGCTTATTGTGCTGCTCCATGACAATGCTCGTCTACATACGGCGCGGCGAACAGCAACCGATCTGCAGCAGCTCCGCTGGGAGCTGTTTCATCATCCCCCTTCATCAAGTCCTGATCTTTCACCCATCAATTTTCATCTCTTCCTGCACCTGAAGACATTCCTCTCCTCTCGAGAGCGTTTTCACACCGACGAAAAGCTGAAGACGACTGGGTCACGCTGGTTCCAGTCGCAGGTGAGAAACTTCTATGACACTGGTATACTAAAGTTGATACCACGCTATTACAAGTGTCTTAATTCGTGTGGTGACTGTCAAATAAAATAGCAGTTGCATTGCTGTACTTATACTCAATAAAGTTTTGTATGTAACTATGATGTCTTTAATTCCACAAAATAGGGAAACTTACTTTCTGGATGCGCTACGCAACATAAATAGCCATTAAAATTGATGTTTTCCTCTTCTCAGAATGGGCTATAAATTTAATATTCCCATAGCAAGCTCAAAAAAGGCATACAGAGAGAGGATTTTCATTCCTTAGTCAAAGGATCTCTTCTAGATATGTGGCAAGACGTTGCCTTCGACGCTAGACCCCAACCTTTCGACAGTGCACAAGAGATGCTCCACGGTAAGATATGTTCAGCGTTTATCGCAAGTAAATCACCGTGAGATGACGTCCTGGGATTTCATTCACACTCAAAATTGAATAGCGCATAATTTATCGCTTTTTGCCTTTGTTTAGATCTTTTTTTAAACAAAATTTACCATTATTTTCTCAAAGAAATTGGTCTGCGGTTGTTATTTCTAAACCAATTGTTTGATTGTTGAATACATTACATTGATATATCCTTTAAAAAATATTAATAGAAAACCAATAAATAATTGTTAAAGGTATTAAATAAAAAACAATACATTCAAGCCGTTACAAATGTTGCAATTAACACAAACACACATGCTTTTCAATTAGAAGTGATTAGTGAACAAATCCGATTAATATCATATTTCGGATAATTATTTTATAAATATTAAAACGTAGGAAAATGGACTTCCTAAATTCTCGAAAACTGTCTATCTACAGCCCATCGGAATGAAATTATTAACAACCACCACAACAGCAAAAACCATTTCTCTTTGTTTATAAACAATTAGTAAACCACTTTACACCAATATCTCTTTTAACTAAAACTAATCAATATCTCTTATAAACTAAAACATTTATGTAACAGTGGAGTACCAAACAATTACCAAACAAACACGCGCCCAAGAAATTATTGACCAAAGAAACAGAACACAAAGCAGTAACAGACAATGTTCCACAAACTAAACGTAAATATTGTAACGTCCCGCCAGCTTTGAGAACGAAGACGTGTTAATTTCGCGATGCTCCAAGGCTGGCAAATTGAACCGTTAGGGGCATCGGCGATCCGCGGCATAGCACAAGGGTGCCAACCGCGGGGGCAGATAATTTTGTTAAAGCGTGGGCGGATTTATGACCGCGAAAAGGAGGGAGGAACTCGGTTTGATGCATGGTCGACCTCCCTTATAGGAAACAATGGAAGAGATTCGGCACACCATCATCTTACCCAAGGACAGCATCGTTTTTTTATGACAAAGCCCAATGCGTTCGGTGTCGTACCGGTCAAAACGTTTCTTTCACCCAAAATAAAGATTTCAAAAGGCACCGCGATGCAGCCGCCGACCACTGACGAATGGGAGGGCGCCCAGCACCGCGCAGCTGCGTTCAGTAAAATCCGCACCCTTAAAAATTTTGAGATGCAAAAGCCACCGCGTGCTCCATGGGCAACTGAAAACAACACGGAGGAGACAGCTTCTCTGTCGCACTCGCGGCGGTGGTGGTGTAACGGATAACGTACCGGACACTTATACCCAAGTTCGGGGGATCAAACCCGATCGAAGCCGTGGATTTTTTAAGAACGTAAACATCCTTCGGAGGGGAAGTGAAGTGAAGCCGGCCGTCCCACGTTAGTAGATTACTGTAAAAGATCAAGCCTAAATAAAACCTCTGAACTAAATTAAAATCGCCTGGTTTGTCCCCGAGTAATACCGCCTTTCTCCGCCAGCGGGTGAAAGGAGCGTATCGACATTTGCGTGGTCAGACGGAAGTGCGGGCCTGATGGCCCGAGGCTCGCCGCGGCTTCAAGCCAAGCAAGAAGAAAGAGGGCACACCCCTCAAGCACGCGGTGGCCGAGTGTTGCCACTGAAACTCCAACGGCAATTTTTTATGTAAAATTCTTAGCGCTGCCCCACCATCCCTAGGTGCAAAGCAGAACGTAGCACAAGGAGGGTAGTTGGGAAATAAACAGGCTCCTCAACCGCCAGAACACACATTCCGTCCGACTCGGGCCGCTACGCACGGCAAACACATGGGTGATCGTTCAGCATATAGGGGGCCTTGTGAAAAAGAAGAGGAAGAAGAAGAGAGGCAGGGTGTTAGGAAAGAAAGAGAATGAACAATGGAGGAAGATAAAGATGACTTGTGAAGGAAAGGAATAACTGAGTGCCCTCCCTGCATCCCTCAGGATGTGGACCGACCCACCTCGACGGGCAGAATTGAAGAGGTGAAAAGAAAAATGCACAATTTGCGAAACCAGCAAAAGCAAAAAATTACTCTATTTATATTCAGAGATAGTACATTCAAAAATGTTTAGAACAGCCTAGAACAAATTTGGTAAATGACAGAACTGCGTGAAACAGCGTGTTTAATACGTGAAAGTGGGATTTAAGTATTGATATTCAAGCGATACGCTTAAAAAATTGAAACAAACTTTTTTATTACACAAAATCCTATTAAATATAGTGTAACTATTGTAGGTGTTTTTCAAATTTTGAAGATAAACAATACGTGTTGCTTAAGAAGCCATCTATATTTCTTTTCCAGACTTCCAAAGAAATAAGAGAAATGGAATGTGCACCAGTGAAGTATGTTCATCCAACTGACAGTTTTTTTAAATTCATTGAAGATTTTAGCACCAAGTTTGACTGCGAGTCAAACGAAATCAAATGTAGTAAGTCATGAATAGTTTCCCTTGACTCAAATTGGTATTGTTATTTTGTTATCCAACTGACCATTACATGTACGGAACATTTCGAACTAGCACATTTCAAGCCATCTACAGGAAATGCACATGTACATAGAGATTGACACACATTACTATTAATGAAAACAACACATACAAGCACATACAAAAACTTTATTCAAGTGCACACACATACATATAATCATGTAGTAAATATAAAATATTACAATCTAAAATCCACTGAAAAACACCTGTTTGTATCTAAAATAATTACTTAATACTAATATAAAAAGTATTTTACACTTAACATATTTGAAATTATTGCCTTTAATTATTTATACCTATACTACCTTTTTATTTTCCTGCAGGAGACAAAATAATTTGTGAAGTCCTCTCTAACCCCCTTTTGCTGGTGAATAATTAAGTAGTCTGCCTCGTTCTAAATCTAAAAATACATTTTATGGTCGATGGTCATCACGCCAACTCCCTTGAATGACTCATGAGATTCTTCGTTTCCTGACTCAATATGATCCCAAAGCTAAATAATTAGAAGCAACGTCCTTCTTCGAGATAAGGAAGTTGTGCGGAACACATTTGACAAGCTCAATTGTTTTACCCTATCAAGCTGTAAATTCATAGACCTGTGGAGAACTATAAATTTATTAGCAATTATCCCAAACGCATTTTTCACTCTTCTTCGTGCTCGGAAGAAACGATAATTAAATATTCTTTGTGGAA